TCCCACGCTCGAGCGTCCAACACTGCACAGAAAATACTGGATGGGTGCAACTCCCGCTCGAGCGCCAAAACCCCCGCTCGAGCAGACAGGTCAAAATCTGGGCAACTAGTTTTGGTTTCTAAACTCAATCATCCTGTAACAAACCTGCCCAACACATCCTATAACTCATAAATAAGGAATTAAAGGATGACAACAAGATATATACAACAACAAGCTCCACGGAACCTAAGTCCGGATAGAACAACCAAATGGGGAAAGACCGGGATCGCTATAATTGTCAATATTGCCACGAATATCACTATTATTTTACAATTCCTATCATCGCTACCACAACCACCACTCCACCACCACCACCGCCGCCACTATCATGCCGTCGCCGTCGCCGCCGCCATCACCACCACCACCACCACCACCACCACTATCACCTTTATCATCATTGTCATTATTGCGATAAATATCACCATTATTTTACAATTACTATCATCACTATCACCATCACCACTCCACCGCCACCGCCATCGCCACCGCCACCACCACCACTATGCCACTCCACCACCACCACCATCACAATATAAAAATTAAAACGTACAATTTAAAAATAATAAATTTCAAATTTTATCTTACACATATCAAATAACTTGTTGTTAATTCAGCACTTAAATTTTTATCAAACCGCTTTTCAACTTAAAAAATTCAGTTTTCAATATTTAATTTTCAATCTTCAGTTTTCAGTTTTTAATTTTATCAAACACCATCTATGGTACATTCTGAAAAATGTATTCGGTATGCCTTTTCAAAATTACACTACAATAATTGATAACAAAATCACAATAGTCAAATAACTTTTTCACCATAATAGTATGTAATATTTTAATATTCATAACATTATCATATTAGTTTATTACATAACCATAACAATTTGTATTTAAAACTTTTTTGGGTAAATTACATTGACAACCCCTGAGGTTTATATTTATTACAATTTTCCCTTTACCTTTTGAAAATTACATCTCCCTCCTTGAGGTTTAAAGTTTCAGTACAGATTGCTCACTCTAGCAATTTAATTTTTTTAAATACCAATTTTTTCCTCACTGGGTAAATTACATTGACACCTCTCACATTTTAGAAAGGAAAATGCATGAGACCCCCAGTGGGGGTGCTGGGGTCCCCTTTGATTGGTCCAAAAAACTATATTTTTTTTTTTGGCAGCCCCCCACGTGGAGGTGGGGGTGCTGGGGTCTTCTCCTACTGGGGGTCTCCAACAGGACTGTTTTAAAAATTACAATCCCCTCTCCAAGGTTTAAAGTAGCATTACTAATTGCCTCCTCAGTTAGTATTAGTTGAAAAAAAAATTCATTGAAAAAAAAATTAATTGGAAAAATATTATTTGAAAAAAATTAATTGAAAAAAAAATTTATTAGTCAAATTTTTAAATTTCTATTTAAAAACCAATGTAAGATAAAAATTACACTGACACCCCTTGAGATTTATGTTTATTACGCTCGAAAGATAAAAATTATATAAAAATGATAATTATTTTTTATTTTTTATTTCTTAACCAAATTAATTTTTAATTTTTAAAAATAATTTCTAAAAATCAAACCATATATAACCTAAGAATCTTTTGATAAGTCATTTCTTACGTTCGTAACTTATTTAATTATTTCTTAATTTTACGACTTTTTTACCATCTGAGACCTGTTTGGTAACCATTTCGCTTTCAATTTTCAATTTATATTTACAACAATTTAAAAAATTGTCATAAAAACTTGTTTGATAATTTTTTTGGTTTATAAATGATTGTCTTAGTTTGTAAATTTCAAGAAAAAAACGTAAATTCAAAAAATGAGTTTACGTTGATTTTTAAACAGAAATTTAAAATTTTGACTAACAAAAAAATTTCAATTAAATTTTTTTTTTCAATTAATTTTTTTTTCAACTAATACTAACCAAGGGGGCAATTGGTAATACTACTTTAAATCTTAAGGAGGGGATTGTAATTTCTAAAATGTCCGTCTATGTAATTTACCCAGTGAGAAAAATTGGTATTTAAAAAAATTAAATTACTGGAGGGAGCAATTTGTAATGAAACTTTAAACCTCAGGAAAGGGGATGTAATTTCCAAAAGGTGAAGGAGAAACTGTAATAAACATAAAGCACATGGGGTGTCAATATAATTTACCCAACTTTTTTTTATGATGCATCCCTTTGTAACATAATTATAATTATTTATATTAACACTATAAAAACTCATAACAATTCTATAAAATATACAAAATATTATACCCATATCTGAGTAATCCCACCAACTTAGTAGGCCAGGAACCCCTAAAATCCCACTAAAATATAAGTCGTTTGGCTTCGTTTGGCAAGGACTTTTGTGGCTATTTTAGTCACAAAGACAAAATAAGTCATTTTAGCCACAACAAACAAAACATCACATCCAATCCATAATCATTACACTCTTCTCTCACAAAAAAGTCAAAAAAATCAAAAAGTCAAAAAGTCTTTCACAAATCAAGCTTTTTAGCCAGGCTAAAATAGCCAAAAAAACCAAAAAGTCAACCCACTTCCCAAATAGAGAATATAATATTTTATCTCATTCTTATTTGCCTGACTCTAATTGTCTCTTTTAAAAATAACCATGTACTCCACCCATGATTTTAAATTAATTTGTTACACTAACACCATTAATTTCACTTGCAAAAAACACTTATACAACATAAATGTATTTTTTTTTAGTATCACTATCTCACACTTTAAAGCATCTCTAACGGTGTATCAATTATTTCACTAAATTTGAATAAAAAATAAGTAATTCCTCTATCTCATATCTACCTCTCCAACGGAGCATTGTGGGCTGTCATCAAAACATCGGTCGATCAAGAGGACGACCGGGCAAAAGTCCAGCTAGTCAACCGGCCGGTGTAATATGAAAATTCCCTTCATTTTCAACTAAGCAGAAGACCGGGTGGACATTCGGATGATCGTCCAGTGCCCAAAAACAACGGCTCTGAACAATGAAATGCCAAAAGGTCCAGACGTCCTCAATTAGTGAAATATTTTTTATAGTCTGAATTTAATATGTATTTGATGAAAGTGTTGGAGAAGGAAAAGAAATAACTTTTTATCAAATTTAAATTTAATGATAAATTTAATATATCATTAGAGATGGTCTTATATAAGTGTTTGGTAATTTTTTTGATAAATTATTTAATAATTCTAGCATAGCTCTTTGTCCACTATAAACCTGACATACCAAGGACTAGAGACCAGAGTTTCTACCCCCCAAGAAGACGGAATGGCCTTCCAGTGATGACTTGACTTAGACATATTCTTATTTACATATTTTAATAATTTTTAATTATATACATTATATAATAATAATAATAACATTTTTACTATTATTATTATTATTATAACTAGGTGCTCATGACTTGAGACTTTTCAAAACAATCAGTCTTCTTGTACAGTTTTTAAAACTTTAATCTTTCAACACTAGCATCGAAATCACATTCCACACTCAGAAGCTATGGACACAACCTCTAGTGCTCTTGTGATATTTGCTCTTTTTTTCATTGAAAGACTTGAGTTCATTTGTAGTAGTACAAATTCAAATGTGAGCTGCATAGCAAGTGAGCGAGAAGCTCTTATGAAATTCAAAGGAAATCTCATAGATGAAGCAAACCGTTTATCCTCGTGGGTCGGAAAGGACTGTTGCACGTGGAAGGGAGTTGGTTGTAGCAATAAAACAGGCCATGTTGTGAAGCTTGATCTGCATAATCCAATTGATGATCCAAATTTCGAAATGAACCAACTGGGTGGTCAGATAAGTCCTTCCTTACTCGATTTGAATCATTTGCATTACTTAGACTTGAGCATGAATGATTTACGTGGTCCAATTCCTGATACACTTGGAACGTTGACCTCTCTTACAGTCCTTGACCTTTCATATAACAACTTCAATGATTCAATGTTGTATTATTCTTTGTGTAACCTGAGCAGTCTTGTCTATATAGATCTTAGTTCTACTAGCCATAGAGGTGCAATCCCCCATTGCCTTGGGAATCTTGCTTCTCTTTCCATCCTCAGGTTGAATGAAAATTATCTTCAAGGTCCAATTCCAAGTGAGATGGGAAATATGACACAACTTATAGAGCTTGACCTCTGTTGGAATGCGTTTCAAGGTCCAATTCCAAGTGAGATGGGAAATATGATACAACTTACAGAGCTTGACCTCTCTTGGAATGCATTTCAAGGTCCAATTCCAAGTGAGATGGGAAATATGACACAACTTACAAGGCTTGACCTCTCTTGGAATGCGTTTGAAGGTGAAATACCAAACTCCATGAGGAACCTCTGCAACTTGCGTGTATTGGATTTGTCCAACAACAAATTCAGTGGAAAGCTTTCAACTTCAGTTGGAAGTCCATTGGGTTGCATCCATAATAGTTTGGAAGATTTGTCTCTTTCTTCAAATAAGTTAAGTGGTGGTCTGCCAAACCATTTGGGAGAGTTTAAAAATCTAGAGTGGCTTACTATTGGAAACAATTCATTTTATGGTGCGCTGCCATCATCACTCGGAACACTATCATATTTAAGTGTGTTAGATACCGGAGACAATCAATTGAATGGGAGCATTCCAATTAGTCTTGGACAACTTTCAAAACTAGAATGTCTAGATTTGTCAAAAAATGCATTTGTTGGCACCGTATTTGAGCTTCACTTTGCCAAACTCAAGAATTTAAGGGTATTGAACTTGCATTCAAATTCTTTAGTTTTGAATGTGTCCTCCCAATGGGTTCCTCCCTTTCAACTCCAATTCATAGAATTGTCATCCATCAAAGTAGGACCCCAATTTCCTCAATGGCTCGAAACACAAAAAAATGTTACAAGGTTAGACATGTCTAATGCAAGCATCTCAGTTGTCATTCCTGATTGGTTTGAGAGTATTTATTGTGGCATTATATACTTGGATCTTTCCAACAACCAGATCAGAGGAAGGGTGCCAATATTTCAAAACTGTAAATATAGATATAGTGCTCATGGTAAACGGTTACAATTGAGTTCTAATAGATTTGAGGGCCCACTAACACCGCTTCCTTCACATGTTCATTCCTTAAATCTCTTCAATAACTTGCTTTCAGGACCTATTACTGTGAGTGGTGATAATGTAACGATGAGCTTCATATATCTTGTTCTCTCAAATAACCATTTGACTGGTGTCATTCCAGTGTCTTTGTGCAAGGCAAAGCGTATAACTCTTATTGATTTCTCAAACAATAAACTATCAGGAAAAATCCCTCCTTGCTTGGGGCAGTTGGATCAGTTGTCGGTGCTAGATTTGACGAATAATAGTCTATATGGTGAAATTCCAAGTTCATTAGGTTCCCTACAACTTCTCAATTCCTTGCACTTGCGTAACAATAAGTTCCATGGGAAACTTCCTTTGTCCTTACAGAATTTCACATTTCTTTTCATCATTGATCTAGGTGAAAATGTGTTCACTGATAATATCCCTCCATGGATTGGATATAACCTAACTAATCTTAAATTTCTCAATTTTCAAGCAAATAATTTCTATGGTGATATTCCTTCGCAACTCTGTCATCTCCAAAATTTGCAATTGTTGAACTTGGCACAAAATAACATAACGGGAAATATCCCACGTTGTTTTGGCAACTTCACTGCCATGGTTGCACTAGACCGTGGGTACAATTTCAATGCAACTTATCATTTTGGGTACAATTTCGATGCAACTTATCATTTTAGAGGAATTTATGACGAGAATATTTTGGATTCAATGAAAGGAATAGAATTGGAATACACCAGGACACTCAAATTTCTCATCTCCATGGACCTTTCGAACAATGGCATTGTTGGAGAGATTCCAGAAGAGTTAATGGATCTTTTTGGGTTGATGAACTTGAATTTATCTGGAAATCATCTAAAAGGAAGGATCCCTAATAATATTGGCAATTTGACACAATTGGAATCTCTTGATTTGTCTCGAAACAAACTTTCTGGCCCCATTCCTCCAAGTCTGTCTAGTTTAAGCTACCTAAGTCATTTGAACTTGTCATTCAATAATTTATCAGGGCGAATACCAACGGGAAATCAACTTCAAACTCTCAACGATCCTTCCATTTATATAGGCAATGATGGCCTTTGTGGTGCACCACTAAACAGCTGCATCGATGATAAATCATTTGATGGTGATCACAAACATGCTGATGAGAGTAAAGTTGCAGATGAAACTGTTGTTTTGTGGTTCTACACCGGCATTGGACCTGGTTTCTTGGTTGGATTCTTGGGGGTTTGTGGCACTTTGAATTTCAAGAAGTCTTGGAGGTATGCATACTTCCACTTCATCGAAAACAATTACAATTGGATATCAATAAACATAGCAATCAAGTTCGCCCAGCTAAGGAGGAAGGTCAACAAAGGCACATTTGGAGGATGAATTTATCACCCAATTGGTTCGTCTCTCTCTCTCTCTCTCTCTCTCTCTCTCTCTCTCATCATGTACCTATATTACCTTTGTATCTTGTCATGATTGTGATGTGTGCATCAAATCAACATCTTTATAACCCACAATTTATCTTGCATGAATCTTTCAAAAAAATTTCAATTCCTTACCGTCATTAACATAACAATGCTAATCATGTAAATGACTTTTGGAACATCATCACAACTTGAAGAATAACCATTCATATTTTGAAGTGGAGGTAGTGATATTTCCAGATTATCATCAAAGCATGTCTTACATTCAAGATCATATAGTAAAGTACAGATTAATTTCCAACAAATTTCTTTACCAAAAGCACCAAAATTCTGTCACATGCTTAAAAACATTGAAACAAATGCAGGTTTGTTGTTATATGGTTCAAATAATGCAAATACATTTCTCAAATAATTTTTCAGAAGTCATTTGTTGCATTATTTCAGAGAAACCATGTTAACATCCACTAATATGCTTGTTATATGCTTTGCTGTCATTAAAGGGTCTTATATTCAGCTGGAGAAAAGAGCCTCATAGGAAAGCAACATTGAGATCATGTTATGAATTTTCTTGAGTTGTTGGAAAGAAATAAGTTTGTATAATTCTATAGTTCTAGTATCTATGTTGATGGGGTTTGATGATTTTGTGCCTTTTGTAAAATATTCGAAAGTAAGTCTTTCCTTAAATAAATGATTTGTGAACTATCATATTGTCCAGAATATGTTGAAGTCCAATAGACTGTGTTTTGCATATATGTGTATTGTCCTTTTATTGGTGAATTCTATGACTTTTGCCAATTGAGGCCATGGATTCTAGTTTTAATTTTGAGAATTGAGCAGAATGCTCCAACAATGATATACATATAGTAATTGTATCACCAAGAAAAACCTTGTCAAAACAGAAAGCTATTGTGCAACAGTCAAATTCACATATAAGTTCAACTATTTATGTTTTTCTTCACATTGTAGTAATCTTTACTTGTATCAAAGCTTTTAATGATTTAGGAGAAGTATGTAATATCAGTAATATACAAGCATGTTTCCCAACTTGCACTCCTTTTAATTTAATTTGTTAATGATTAATCCTTGCCAAAGATTTGTGTGTGTGTGTGTGTTTTATTCTCTGTCTATTTGTGTCTATTGAGTTTTAACCAATTTATCAGTGTTTGAGGTTGGCTTTTTTAATAACTTTTTGTTGATTTTTTTCATCTTTAATGATTTTTTTTATTTAAATTAAAGTGTTACACTCTTGAATTCTACTCGACTAGAGAAATTAGAAAAGATCAAAAAATTTGAAAATTTTGAAAAAAAAGTCCAAAAGGGATTATAAAAAAAAAAATCAAAAACAATTGATTTTTTTTTTTTGGTAACTTTTTTTGTGCTTAGGATTTTATTTTATTTTTTTACTTTTTAGATTCGTCTACATAAGACAAACCTAAAAAGTTAAAAAAAAAAAAAAATGGACATAATTTAGAAAGAAAAAAATACTAAAAATTAAAAAAAATTAAAAATATATATATATATATATGTATGTAACTTTTTTAGGTGAATGCCAAACACTAACAAAAGCCAAAGCAATAAAACTGTCGATGTAACCAAAATATCACAAGTTTCCATATATGCAAATGCAAATGCAGATGATTAGCTCCTAACTACACATTGATTTCAGCAGTCCACACACAATGACCCAAAGGGGATCTACATCAATTATCACATTTGCATTAGGCATCAACCAATCCTACACACCATACCAATGCAAATGCAGATGATTAGCTCCTAACTACACATTGATTTCAGCAGTCCACATACAATGACCCAAAGGGGATCTACATCAATTATCACAATTTCATTAGGCATCAGCCAATCCTACACACCATACCAACAAATAGCATAGAGAAAAGGAAGATGGTATGATATTCATCCTTAAAATTATGCATATGGTATACATTTTATTAAAAAAATTTGGCAAATTACAGCGATAGTCCTTGTAATTTACTCATTATGTTATTTTAATCCCTATATTTTCCTCGATTTTAATCCTGAATTTTATATTTTGTCTCTTTTTGTCGCAATTGAAAATAGTTGTTAAGTTTTTTGACGGAAATTGACCATGTGCATGTCACGTGCCTTATTTTAAAAGGTAAAATTGTAAATTTAATATTTTGTACATTATTTAGCCAACGCAGTGAGTTAACTCACTTAAATAAACACACATGGATCTCAAGTTCCGTTTGTCATAGTAATCTTAGAAGTTTGAGATAAATATTATGATCTAGTTTTTTTTTTTTTTTTTGGGGGGGGGGTTGTTCCTGTGTGAACGCAAACTATATAAACAGCTAAATATGTAAACATAAAAATAATTAATAATAGAACATACATTTCAATATAAAGATATGACAATTATTTTTATTTTTTTTATCTATATGATTAATGAATGGCCAATAATACTACATTTATTTTTTTTGTATGATACTTAGTTTACCATCTCATGGTCATGATTGCATTGGTTAAGTTGGTTCCATCACTAGTGACTATTTCCAAGGCCATTGTGACACATATTGTAAAAAATGTGATCATGTAAATGAATGACTTTGCCTAGTGGCAGAAAGGATAGACCCTAAGAATGAACTGTAAACCCAAACATATCGAGTTTGACTCTTACTAATGTTTCTCCAACTTAACCGATACAAACCGATACACGTAATTTGTGACAATTTTTAGAATTCGGAATTTACTTACTCTCTAAAGAGTGGATCCAATGTTACTTTCATGATTGCATTGATTAAGTTGGTTCCATCACCCTCATTGTGTTATTATCATTTTTGTCCTTATTAGTCATATAGATTGGAGAGTAGAAGAGAAATAAGTGGGGGAAACTGTTTATATAGGAACCATAATTAAGTAAATTTCCAATTAAAAAATCTTCCCACACAAGCAAAAGTTGAAAACCACCCTATAAGGACATCTCCAACCCATATGGTTTGAGAAATAGCTATTTTAATTATTTTTTTGACTTTTTATGAGAAGTAAAAAGAGTGATGTGATAATTCATTGTGACTTTTTGACTATATTTACTCTAATGCCAAACAAGGTTTATCAAATTCAAATTTGGTTAAAAATCTTGCAAAACACCTCTTCACACATTGACTCAAATTTATATGAAATTGAGTTTTACCCATTTTTTAACCCAAATTAAAAGAGACTCAAATATGTACTCAAATTTTGTCGAGATCATTTTGTAACTTTCAAATTTACCACTCTGCCATTCTTGAAGTTTTACTCAAATTTACATTCAAACCTAAGTTTATCCATTGGAATGTCATATCAAATCAAACTTAGATTTTTAATTTAATTTGCAGTAATGCTGCATCCACACAATTTGAGGGAATATTTGAGGTGGCAAGACAAAATGTATATAGAGGGAGTTTTGAGGGAATATTTGAATGTGGATCAACTTTTTAAATTTAGGCTTCCAAAAAGGGAGCCTAAAAGAGAACAAAATGGGAAAGTTTAATACTAAAGAGTAAGGTTATAAGGATGAGTAGGGCTGTGTGCCTTTGTGCCCTCCTAGGAATACTTTTTAGTGTCTATCTTGGCTTATGTTGAATGTGTGTCCAAGGAATTTGAAGGAAAGAAAACACAAATAAATTTGGTGAGTTTGAATTTGTTTCACTTTTCATATTTATCTAAATATTTGGTATCCACTTTTTGACTCATTTCTATAAAAATTAACCCCGTGTTTCCTAGAAAACAAAAATAAAAATGAAACACAATAAAAATAAAAATAAAAGTGATAATTCTCATGTCTTCCATCTCATTTTAGTTTTCAATCTTATGATTCTTAATCTTCTCCTAATCGACATTTTGAAACCCAAATGTGCAGATCAATCATACATGGCAGGAGGATTCATGATGGCTTCATCACTTTGCACTCAAAGCAACAGGCATGTTTGTGTAGGTTGAAAAACAAAAACAAAAGGCACAATTGGACAGGAAACTTTAATTTTCTAATCCTGCTAGAATAGATAGAATATCAAAAGGTAGCAGGTGTTCCATCATGCAGTTTCCACTATAATATTAATGTGCATAAGAATTGATCATTTGACTCCAATGCAGAGTTGAAGGTTAATCAAGCCACAATTTTATATGACATCGCATGCCAGATTTACACACATAGAAAGCTGCTTAAACAGTATTACAAACAGAAAAATGCCGTTGAAGATTAATCTGAAATAAACACCATTTGTTTCTTTTTTGGAATCTGTTAGCCTAATGACCATTTAAATAGTGAAGTGCTTATCAACTTTTGATACAAGGAATAGAACTAATGAATATTTTTTCCCCTATTCCACAAGGTGCATGAAAGGAGACAGCATTTTGCAACCTTGCATCACAATGTGGGTGTTTGGGAAGTAGATTTTTTTGTAGGTTTTTTTAGTTGTAGGATATTATTGAAGAAATTTTTTTTTGTGTTTGGGAAGATAGTTAGATTTTTTTGTGATTGGATGTGATGTTTATGAGAGAAAAAATGAAATGATTATGGGATTTGATGTGATATTTTGTTTGGATTAGTTTTTTTTCAGTTTTGTAACCAATTTGTCTTTTAGTGAAAAAAAACAAAAAAACCAAAAAATAAACAAAAAACTTCCTACCCAAGCACCGCCAATATACCATCAATACAAGTTATACGTTTTAAAGTGGATGTTTTATATAACATCGCATGCCATCAATATCTTATCAACCTTGCATCACATTACAAGATAACTTATACCCAGTCTGTCATACTATACCTATTCTGAATGTTTTTATTACATAAATCATAAGTCACATGTTTTAAAGTGGATATTTGAATATTTTGTCTTTAACTAAAAAGTCACCAAAAATAAAAATAAAAAACCCTATGTTGCAAAAATCCACAAATTTTTCGTATGTTCTATATAACTATGCATACTACCACTAGACATTCTGCTTCTAACAGGACCAAAGCTAGAACTGAAGGTTTGAGAGGTGATCACACCATAATATGGTGGACCCTCTCATACCAAATCAAATCCTTATATGGTGATTCAATCTTCCCGCACGAAGAAGTTACTGGAAGTAAGAAGTTTAAGATTTGAATGAAGAGTCACAATGGTTTAGAAACATGGTGATCATTGAGTTTGAATTCCATAAGTTGCAACCATTAGTTGACAACCACCATATGCTATATATATATATGGACAATGCATAGGTTCAACGCACTTGGATTTCTCTCAATTTTTCCTCTTCCAGATTGTATTCTTCTACCTGATTAAACACCCTCACGGGAACTTTGATTCGTTGCCATTGTTAAGTTAATCTTTCAGTGGTATCAAAGCAATGTTAAATTGAGTACGCAAGTGTCAAATTATGATCTGTAGGAGGGCAAAATTTTAGAATTTATTTTTTTCAAAAATTTAGAGAACAAATTGATAAATATAGTGTCTCGCGTCGGTGACTTGTATTTGGTTGTTCAATCACTATAAGCACAAAAATAACCCAACAGTGCACCCAAAGGAAGTTGTTGTGGTTGGATACAACGGAAGAACAAATTGCCGAAATCAAGTCCGAATATTGTCTAGTGGAGGAAGTTTTACAATTTTTATTTTCCTTTTCGGTTGCCAAAACACGTCTCTATCTTCTTCATTTTGTTCATTTCAAAATTTCAGTCGAGATAGTGAACTTCATTGTGAAAAACAACGAAGAATTGATCCTGAAAATTTGAGTTTTTTGTCTCTTGTCTTTGACGCCATTGCCGCAGACGAC